GTGGGAGGAGCTATGATGGGACAGTTATATTGATAAGGGGCTGTGATAAGGAGTACGGGGGAAGGGTATATTGTGGGAAGAGCTGTGATGATGGGAAAGTGATATTGTGGGAGGAGCTATGATGATGGGTACAGTGGGGGAGGAGCTGTGATGGTGAGGGTTATATTGTGGGATGAACTATGATGATGGCAAAGTTATATTGGGAGGGGGCTGTGATGAAGAGTACAGTGGGGGAGGGTTATATTGTGGGAGAAGCTGTGATTATGGGTGTTCTATTGTGGGAGGAGCTGTGATGATGGGGGGTTATATTGTGGGAGGAGCTGTGATGGTGGGGGTTATATTGTGGGAGGAGCTGTGATGGTGGGGGTTATATTGTGGGAGGAGCTTAGATGATGGGACAGTTATATTGGGAAGGGGCTGTGATAAGGAGTACGGGGGAAGGGTATATTGTGGGAGAAGCTGTGATGGGAAAGTTATATTGTGGGAGGAGCTATGATGATGGAAAAGTTATATTGTGGGAGGAGATATGATGAGGGGTACAGTGGGGGAGGGGTATATTGGGGGAGGAGCCGTGATGAGGGTTGTATTGTGGGATGAACTATGATGATGGGAAAGTTATATTGGGAGGGGCTGTGATAAGGGGGTACAGTGAGGGGTATATTGTGGGAGGAGCTGTGATGATGGGTGTTATATTGGGGGAGGAGCTGTGATGAGGGGTATATTGTGGGAGGAACTGTGATGAGGGGTGTTCTATTGTGGGAGGAGCTGTGATGATGGGAAAGTTATATTGGGAGGGGCTGTGATAAGGGGGTACAGTGAGGGGTATATTGTGGGAGGAGCTGTGATGATGGGTGTTATATTGGGGGAGGAGCTGTGATGAGGGGTATATTGTGGGAGGAACTGTGATGAGGGGTGTTCTATTGTGGGAGGAGCTGTGATGATGGGAAAGTTATATTGGGAGGGGCTGTGATAAGGGGGTACAGTGAGGGGTAAATTGTGGGAAGAGATGTGATGATGGGGCTTTTATTGGGGGAGGGGATGTGATGAGGGGTTCAGTGGGGGAGGAGTTATATTGTGGGAGGACCAGTAATGTAGGGGGTACAGTGGGGGAGGTGGTTTAATGAAGGGGTACATCAGAGGAAGGGTTATATTAGGTAGGAGTTATATTAGAGGAGAGGTGTAGAAGCAGCTGGGTGTCCCCGCCCTTCTCACTCACCAGGACGGCATGAAGCGGGTACGGGGCGGGCAGGGTGTCTAGGGTCCGGTCTCCCGACTGGGGAAACTTTCCACCTCTTTTCCTCTCACACACGAAACTTTTTCCGCCACTTCCGGCTCCGCCGAGCCGTACGTCACCGTGACGTCTCTAGCAGTGCCGCCATCTTGGCAGAGCGCCTCACGCCTCGCTTTGACATCAGACCCCGCCCCAGTGACTCTGAGCATTCGGATTGGCTGCTCCGCTTGTCCAATGGTAGCTTGGGTCTGGGAGATTTGAAGCGCGGCGGGAAGAGAAGAAGACGAGGAAGAATGTCTGCAATGAATATAT